ACGCCGTTCAACATTGCGAAATCTGATTTACTTTGAACACCAACCAAGGTTGTCTATCATTGTACCGTTCGATAAAATATCGAATAAAAATTTATCTAAGGTAAAACCTCCAATATAAGAATTATTATAACATTTTGTAAAAGCCTTCGTCTATACCGGAATAACTGACATTACAGTAAATTTGAATAATAAAATGTTTGGAAATTTTACCAATATTATTTTTCATTGAATTTGTAAAAAAGAAAATAATATTTCCAATCATTAAACCACGCTCAGTTTCTACGAACAGATAAATACAACTTCTTAAATTGCGCGATTAAATGTTACGGTATCAAGATGAATGATCGAATCGATAGTAGGTAAGATCGGAGATTAGACAAGTTACGGTCGCTGGTTTTGACATGGTGCTGTCCTTTCCATTATTAATCGACATGAAGAAACCCGTAATCAACGCCACGCCTCTTCCACGTTTATCGATTCAACGTCAGTTGTTCCGAAATAGAGAAACGTTCGTCCTTGTAATGATACTGGCCGAGAAAGAAGAAGAGAAAGAGAAAAGAAGAGAATCAATTGACAATTGTTTATAGCCGTAGATGTAGACTCTGAATTTGTTAGTCCGATCAATACCTCTACTCGACGAAGAATCCGTTAGAGAATTACTTGGCAAGAAACTCAATATGTATGTATCTTTTTATCGACGATACGAACAACTTTTTTCTCCATAGACTCATTCATCTTAACTATTTTTTAACGGGAAATCCTGATACTTTCCTTCTTTCTTAACGGTAATCCACGATGAAAGATGAAAGTGACGAAAATTCCTTGATTAAATTTCTTTTACGATTCATTTACGATTTTTATACAAATCTCATTTAAAATCTCTAATGTCGTTTAGAAAATATTATTACACACACACACATATATATATATCGACTGACATAATTTTATTAATATACACAAAATTATATAGCTGTAGTTATAATTACAATAATTATATTTTGATCTTATGTAAAAACTTTTTGTAACTGTACTGTACACTTAACGACAAGCTGAATATATCACCACACTGAGAGTGATAATACTGTTGCTATATTTGTACGATATTTGCATTCCAAATTATATTTCGCTTGGGAAAACATTTTATTTTGCTAATGATTCCGTTTTTCATTTTCTTTTTTCGGAGAAAGGAAAATACCATTTTAATCGACGCACACAATGCTTTACTTTCTTCCCTCGCAAAACCTGCCTGCTTCATCTCGTATTCCTTCCTTCTCTATACGTAACGCACACGGCGTATTAAGCGGTGATCGCTTTTTAGAATGCGAATTTGATTATTCGCTTAGTTCGTAGCGTAAAAAATAGAAAAATTAAACAAAAAGTTGGTATACATTAAAGTATACATCAAATAAATGACGAAAGTATAAAATAGAGAGAGAGAGAGAGAGAGAGAGAGAGAGAGAGAGAGAGAGAGAGAGAGAGAGAGAGAGAGAGAGAGAGAGAGAGAGAGAGAGAGGGGGAGGGGGAGGGGGGGGGGGGGGGGAGGGGGAGAGGGAGAGAGAGGGGGGGGGAGAGGGAGAGAGAGAGAGAGAGAGAGAAAGAATGATTTCAAATCATCAATCAATTCAAACAAAAAAGAAAAAAAAAAAATAAAGAATAGAAAACCAGGAAATCGTTAATATGATAGATAATCTCAACATTATTTCCTGAATAGAACTATTTTGATTTTTTCCTCAATTTTCCAACTATCAATATCTTCTTCGTTCTCTAACTATTTATTGAACACTTGGAATTATAGGTTTCTATGTCTTTAGGATTTTGTTTGGAATTTCATCTTATTTGTTTTCAAATTAAAAACATTTAAGAAAATGTAATCTAAATATTCTGTAACCGTTCTTTCTTTTCTCTCTTAGAGAGAAAAAAAAAACCCCATAGAAGAAAAAAAAATTGCGTCATTTGGAAATTCAGGTGACGTTTCGTACGAATTTCTTCCTTGTACTTAATAATATTTAAAGAAGAAGAAGGAGAACGGTACATACGAGGATGCAAACTAGCCATTTACATAAATTTCGACCCTTACTGCGTTTTGACCTTCACATGCTCTTATTAAAGCGAAATTAAAGAATCGTTCAACAGTCTCAGCCAGTCGGCAAGCCGGTTTCGACCTTGTCCTTGCTACGATTACGGTAGAAAAGCGGTGAATTTTATACTTTTTTTTTTTTACCTCTTTCCGCCGATCCGTTCCATCGGTTAATTAACTGTATAAATAACATGCCACACCTATTCGCGTAAAAACCACTATGTGCAAAATATAGTAATTGTATCTACTTGCTAGTAAGTAAGCCAGAGTGCAGAGATCAACGCTTATAGAGACCACTGTTAAGTCATTGTTGACGGTGGAAACTGGTTAAAGACCAGGTCACACCGCTTCTGGCAATGATCTAAATATTAAAAACAGATTCTTTCGCCACGAAAAATTGAACAGTCGCTAATTTACCGCTGAAAGAACGTAAATTTCATGTATAATTCAAAATAGTACTTGCCTATGCCACAAGAATCATTTTACATTTCCCACGACATTCTGATATACGAAATTAGAAGATATATATATATTAGAAAATGTTGCAATATTTATTAAAAGAAAATGAATTAAAAATTATCTACACAGATATCAGATAAGTTCTTTATAATTGCTAAGAATTTAAATCAAAATTAAATGAAGAATCGAAAATACAAGATAAGAAAGGAAAATAATTTTTATCCAATCTATAAATATTTTTCCGTCAATAAAAATCGCTGTTATATATCCTGATGAAAAGATATTAATATGAAAAGAAACATAATGTGAGAACAAGAATAATGAGTCATGATAATAGTGTATTCTGTCGAATAAGAATCTCTACCCAATATAATTCTAGGTAATATCAAGTTTATGTATTTATTCAAGGACAAAAAGACGGTACAAATTTGAAGATATTAACTTTCCGAAAATCTTATAATATATTTGTCTTATCTCGAGCGTATTGTATTGTAACGATAAAACTATTAGAATAAAATTTGCAAAATATAAAAAAGAAAGAAAACTTTGATTTATCTTCGAAGAAAGAAAACGAGTTCTGCCATTATCTTATTACACGCGATACAATACTTTTACACAGCCCACAAATCCACGAAAAAAATCACCTCGATCGAACAATACCAAATTATTTTTATCTTTAAAAATCTTTTAAAAAGAATGGCTGGTTGCGAGGAGAAGAAAAGGAAAGGAAAAAAATAATTAAACGCTACAACGACAACGAAGACACAACTCTTTTCGCCAGAGGGAGGAGATTCAATAATAAATATGAAAAAAGGAGGAGCACGAATATCGTAAATAAAAATTCTACAGGTTCGTGTGTCGAGTTAGTCGAGTTGACCATCTTCTGAAAGAAGGACGAACTTTGTCAATGTAATAAAAGTAGGAGCGGAAAAAATCTCTTGTTCTTATTTTTGCTCGCGTGCAAAGAGAGAAGGAAGAAGATAGAGAGAGAAAAAGAAATAAGACATAGTATCTCTGTAATTCTTTTAATTTAGTTCGACTTAGCTTAACGAGTTAAGAAAGAAGGTGTTCCGCCGATACTGTGTCAGCCGGGTTTTTTTTATGCTTTTAAGATAAACAGACAGACAGAGAAAGAGAGAGAGGGAGGGAGAGAGAGAGAGAGAGAGAGAGAGAAATTCTAGTAAAAGGATACAAGACGAAAAAGAAAAACAGAATGAGATCGAAATGAGCATCTCTCTTCTTTGAAAACGGAAACCTATACCATCTTAAGTATGATTTTAATAATTAATCGATGTTTTGGATAGCATGATTACGAAAGATTTGTGAAGAAATTGTTTCGAACAGTTACTTCAAGGGACTAACATATGAGAAAATTTTTTTCTGTTAAAGAAAAAAGAAATCGTTCGAGGACTTGTACATTAAGATTTAAATGACTTCGAGCGATAAAGCCAAGAAAGGAATATAAAAAATACGAAAGAAAAATAAGAAGGCAAGGGATGAATCTTGTTCTCAGAGAAGGCGTAAAGTAAATTTTTTACGAGGAATTCGATGAATTCTTCCATTATCCTGAAATCGTACAAAAAAAGAAAAAGAAAAAAAAACATAAAGAAAGAGAAGGTGTATTGATGTATAAATTTCACCTTCACTTAACTATCTTCTGTTGAATTTTATATTTCAAACATCTCCCTCGATAAAGTCAGAACGAGAGAACGAGGAGTACCTAAGAGAAACAAAGCAAGAGTGACAACAAGAAAGACAGAGAAAGAGGGTCATGAAGAGAATATTAGACTGTAGTCGTTACTGTAGTTTAAATAGTTTCAGTATTAATAAATTTCAAAAAACCACACGATAATTTTTATTTTTTTATCTCTACTCTAGTTCCGTTTATATTGAGTATGGAACAGGAATATAACCCCTATTAGAAATATTTTACGTGTTTACGAGTAACTATGACTAAAACTTATATCTGCATAATTTTGTACATACATATATAAGACAAAACAATGATCTCGCTGGTAGCGTCTAAAAAAAAGAAAGAAATAGTGAGAAAAATACAACTTTCGTTATCCGACTATTTTCTTTCCTTATATCCTTTAAAAGAGAAAAACAAAATGGAGAAAAAAAATGCTAGCGAAAAGATCAAATCTGTCTAGAAAAAAAATATTTTTCTTCCAATAAAAGAAAAAATTCTTATTATTTTATTATAAAACAGAGAGATAAAATGGGGAAAGAAATCGACCGACGTTTCAATAAAGGCATTCAAATATTTTCTTTATCGTTAGAGTTAAAGAGAGAAGGATAAGAATTATCACGATTGAAGCTTTCGATGGGTACGGGAATAATGCGATAAGAGGTAGGATTGAAGTTGCGATCTATCGTAGCGAAGAATCGATGGATCGTCTTTCTTTATCGCCGGAGGAGCCAGTCGATCGCGTGCTACTGGTGATGCCTTCTTACCACTCACCTGGACTCGTTGCCGGTGACGATCTTGCTTCCGTTGCTTCCTCTCGAGCTCCTCCTTCCGTTCGATTAGCGACCTTATCTCTCCAAGAGCCAGAGGCGCCCCGTTGTCGTCGAATACGTCATTGCTTGACGGCAATCTCTTCATTGTAGAAAGTGGTCCGTCCTCGTCCTCACTGTAACTTTCCACAAAGAGTTCCGAATCGCTCTGCAAGAAGACACAATTTTCAAATATTATCATTTGATAATTATGCGATGTAAATATGATTAATGATAATGATAAATAAATGAACAATTTCATTTATAATCCAGTTAGCAAATATAAAATATTACAAGGTTCGTGATCTAATTATTCGATGTAATCGATTCATGAAATTTATATAAAATGTACCTGTTCAGGCGGTGAACTTGGCGAACTGGTGCTAGATGCTTCTACTACGGATACGTATTCGCTCATACCAATTTCGTTTTTCTGCAATTTCAATACCGGTGTCTCCAGTCCACACAGAAATACTTGGCCGAAGAAAAGCACTTTGCTTATCCTTAGACAGACCTGAGCGATATCCTGAAAGGCATCGACAAGTTGCACTATAGCGAAGTTAAAGAGTTAAGATGATATCGTACTACTAGTATGCAATCGAGAGATCGATACGTCCGATAAACCTATAGTCTGTGTTAATCGATCGGATATACGTACTGATTCGTGATTTACAGATTTAATAAAGTTTATGAAGTGCGTACATCAGATAGCTTATATTGTAATTATCGATAACATTTAAAACCTCTCAATATCATTCCGAGGAGAAGAGATGAAAAATTTCCATCGTGATTAAACACTTACCATGTCTTCCGTCTTCTCTACGTAACAAGGATCTTGAGGATTCGACATTAACGGCGTGAATCCTGCCAACGTCGTATCTTCTGGCAACTTCACTAGTTCGAGTTCTAAGAAAATAAAAATTTCAAAACATTTATTAAGATCCCATATATCTCACATATTGAAAATCATTGCGTAAACATATCTATTCTCTCTAGGGTCGATTATACAATCGATTCTATCTTCGATCATTCTAGTTTTTCCTCATTTTATTTATACTATGGAAATCTACTGCAATTAGTTACAACATATACAAGCAATCCACATCATTCGAAGAGATTAAGATCGTAAAGACAATAATTGAGATCGAGATCCGTCCTTTCCTTATATTTCATAGAATGCATTTGAAAAATAATCGACCAGTTGTAGCTTCCAGTTTTCTATTATCGTCCAATAAAGGTTTCGATTCGTATTCTCGTTATAGAGACACGAATCATAATTATTTTATATTTCCATACTACTTGACAGGTTCTCGTCCGTCCTCGTCTAACGTTTTACGATTTTTATGATCGCATCTAAATCATTATTATATTAATGTTGCACCATATGTCGTGTGTCAACTACGAGAATGTTCGTCTATCACCGAGTACGTATAATTATTTTCAGGAGTCTCGAAAAGGTAACAAGTGCGGAACAATTTATCGTCGATAAAATACGTTGGGAGTGGTAAGAAGAAAGAAGAAAAAAAAAGAGAAAAGAAGTTCGAAAGTTGTCTCTCATACTACTGTCGTCGACGTAAAAACGCAATTACGCTGTGGAATTTATTGTTAAACGAAGACCGTTAAGTGGATAATGTAGAGCCTTATTCGTCTCTCTTTCTCTGTCTGTCTCTGTCTGTCTGTCTGTCTGTCTGTCTCTCTCTCTCTCTCGCTCGCTTTTTTTTCCTCTCTTCTTCTTCTTCACTGAACCGATCGTGCGAAGTGGCCGAAGGTAAGGACGAAAAAAAGTGTGGAAGAAAATGGAAGAAGAAAGAAAGAATGAAAGAAGAGGACCCTCTTTCGATCTTCACGATACATTCCTCTCGACTTGGTACGTGGTCCGCCCAACACAGAGTCCACGATTGTACCTTGGTTCAATTTATCCATTGTATCTCGAGTGTAATGTGTAGGTAACAAAGAAAAGAGAAGCGAATGAGAGAAAGAGAAAGAGAAAGAGAAAGAGAAAGAGAAAGAGAAAGAGTGAGAGAGAACTAAGCCAACAAATTGACATTACGGAACATGTTACTGAATATACCGTTATTGTCTTGAATCTTTTTTTTTATAAATCTTATTGCCTCTCTTTCGAGCTATTACAAAATCATAGACAATAAGCGAAGAATCTTCAATAAACCGACCGCTCAATAATGATAAAATTGGATAATAAAAAAAGAAAAAAGAAATGAGTTCGAGAAAAAAATATGTAGTAACAAAGTGGTTACGTTTTACAGTAGTCGAAAGATCGTTCTAGTCAGGCATGATCGACTAACATGCATGCGGTATTATCAGAACCGCACGTGCAACACGACATATTCATGATGACGTGCATGCTTCGTCGTTGGCCAGGACATACTCGACTTTGAAATAAGTGTACCGCGTGCAAGGACGCAAAATACAAAACTAGAACGCTCGTTGTCAACCATCCGGATTCAATCCGTACGTAAGACCTGTTTAGCTACATAAATGACTACAAAAGGTCACTACGAAGTAGGGCAATTTATTTTTTACTTTAGTAATCGTATAATTTAAAATTATTCTAAAAATTGAATGTTAATTAAAAATTAGATTATAGTAATAATGATCTTATATATAGTAGTTAGTTATCATCAATTCATAACTATTAAATAATTATTATGGCCTTCGTTAGAGCAATATGCAAGAAACAATAATATCGCATCGAAGACAGATGTTAACGAGATTAATTAAGCTTTTCATTAATAATTAATTAATATCAAACCATAATTTATTATATCAATCCTTTATAAAATTATTATTATTATTTGATTAATTGACTAAATGTAATGGATTATTGACATAAATACGAGAACAATACAATGAAAATGCAATTTTTTTATAGCATATAAAATCTTCGTTTATCAACGTCTAGGTCATATTTCGTTCGAGTTCAAGTTTATCGTACCGTTTATTCGAATTTTTTCATAAGAACGGAAGCAACCAGAGTTCTCGTTTTTCTCATTAGATCCGGGCAATCATCGATCAGAACATGTAAGTACTAACAACGCTACTTCTAACCGTTAGATTACATGGAAGTCTGTATTACCGATCGATTCACCATCACGTTATGAATATTTGTAGAAACGGATATACAGGCTTTCTTACCTGCCTAATTAAGTTATCTATCACATGATCTGTCGTGGAATGTGAGCTATTAAACGTTGAACGAATTACAGACTTTCGGATACAAGTCCGCTAGGCGAGAAATATCGCGGTAATTGCTAGCCAAACAGGCTAAGATCTGTTGTTATAGTAAACTACTCGCGGTTTACGAGTTCCGTGGGTGCCTTAAATTGAGGAGTCATTATAATAAACAGCTACATGGCATACCTCAGAACGTCGCAAGTTTAAATTCAATCTAAATTTTAATTCGTTTTTTTTTCTAGCAGAGTCATTCGTAACTCACTTTATTACATGAAGTAGACAATTCATTAAATAGCTCGTCGTTTACTAATTGTAAGTGTTTAATAAAGTAACGATCGCGTGTAACATCAGAGAAGTAAAGATTTGTTTCTTGGCTCATTGGACCAACTGATTAATCTTCTTCTTCTTCTGCAATATTACGTTAAACATCTTGAATTATATACTTACTTTATTCTAAGACCCACACGACCGACTAAATCGCGCCTCGTCTGTGGGATAGTTAATGAAGTAACGGTTGCATGTAATAATGTAATATTAAGAAAGTGTTTGAGTCCTGACTTATAAGTGATTACTTATCTTTCTTTTCCACCATACTACTGTATAAATTTTATGACCCGAACTTCTAATGTAAACATGTAATTGTACACGTCTCTTTAATTTGAGACACGCTGGCAACCTTTGTAATATCTTGCATTCCTATTTTGCAAGTATCAACACATCTAGTAGAGTTTTTGAATCCAGTTTATAAGATTATATAAGTACTGTATATTTTTATAAAAGTATTATAAAAGTACTGTATATTTTTAATCCAGCGTTTATCTTCGAAATTCAAAAATATTATTAAATTGTATATATTGTAATATTTCTTCCCCTCACTCTCTCTCTCTCTCTATCTCTCTCTTTCATTTAGCGTCAACTTCTGAAACCGAAAGGTATTATTCAATCATATCTATTGTAATTTTTCAATTACTGTCATTCTTTGAAATCAAAAAGTATCGTTAAGTTGAATGTACATTTTTAGTTAATTTTTCGCTCAGTCAATCTTTAATTTAAAATATCTTAAATTTGAACTTGTATCTATCTATATGAATCTAAATAAAATATATCCTTATTTTAACATACAGTAATAAGTGTTGTTGAATTGTTGAAACAGTTTTCATCAATCCTTTTGATTTTTATTCAAAAAGTGAAACCTTACTTCATTGGTAAAGAAATTTAAAATACAATTGATACAATCACCTATACTATAAGTAAATATACGTAACAGAGAATAATATTCATAAAGAAAACATAATTTGTAAAATATAGCAAAAAGTACAAAATAAAATTCATTACAATTGAAATGCGTATAGGAAGTTTTTTCACCTTTCCTATTAAAAAAAAAAGATTATTACATGATTATTAAACGAAATCGATTCTTTTTTATTCGCATTTTTTTATCACGAATTGGAGAGAAAAACGATAAAGAAATGGAGAAATTTTATAGGTACATTATCATGCGAGCGAAATGAAAAATACCAATGCAGTAAAATATCGCATTCTTTCGACATTATAGATTATCATTGAACGAGTAATGTAATGATCACGAGTAAAATTAAACATTTAATATTCCGTTCGTTATTATCATCAGATAAAGGCAATTAGTCATTAAACGATAATTTTGTGTCGTTTATCTCTCGGATACATTATTTCTGGACACGAGGCCACACATGGCAAAGTCTTTCGAATTTTTAGAAAGAGATATCTTTTTTATTGATCACTGGATTGATGGAGTAATTAATTATATAATAAAAATTTTCTTTCGAAGTTTTAAAAGGTGTATTCTTCTTATATATTTTCAGTTTAAAATTCCAAAATAATTTGTTTGTAATTGTTCTATCACAAATTTGTTTCCACGTGGAAAAAGAGCCTGACAGATGGACGTGGATTCTTCATGGAATTCTCTCAAGATCCTCGCGTGAATGGGCTCGAGGGCAATGTGATTTAAGTATTCATAAGATGCATGGAATAAGACAGAGGGTGAAGAAAAGAGTAAGAGAGAGAATGGTAGACAGTAGCAATCGGGCGTGGCGCACCTATGAGACAACAACGAAGGATCATTGGTTGTAGGCTTGTAAACGAGTAGAAGAGTATGGCATTGCAGTGGTCACATCGAGTGGATTCACCGTTATGCAACCGCCACTGCTGCAGTTTCTGCTGTGGGGGTCAACAGACGATCGGCGACTTTGCCGTTTGAGGATTCAAGTTTTTTGATTAAGCTGGTCCAGCGTGTCTTAGAGTGAGGGAGACAACAAAAAAAGAGAATAAGAGAGAGAGAGAGAGAGAGAATCGTATGGAATGCGACGTATCATCCGTTATGCACTTCCTTCACCATCATCAATGACATTTGTATGAAACACGCAAAATAATATACCCTGTCGATAGTAATCGTAATATGAAAATTATGAATTATAATTAATTGGACCAAAAACTTTTATCCTACAAAAATGATTTTACGTAGAGATGAATAAATCTTCAAAAACACAATTTACTTTCATTGTTTCTTTATAACTTTCTAAGATATTAAATAAGTGAGAATGTAATTACGCGGTACTTTGTTTATGCGCCACGTCGTTTTAGACAATATATGTAACGCATTAAATTGCAAATCATTCTTGGGCTTCTAAATGGCGCATATTGATTTGATTTTTTTATGCCTGATATATAAGTGGTAAAGCCGATTATTATAATTATCCGTCCACTTATCCCGATTGACCGTGAAGCAACTTGTCATCCGTATGCATTAAATCGTATCATTATATTCACTATTTAAGTGAGTATAATCGTTTGTCGATTACGTGATTGTTAATTGATCGAATATCAATGTAATCAATAATTGGTTTCATGAAACAAATCGATCCTTCGTGCTTATGTTTAATATTTTCGAATTATGCCAAATTAAGAGATTGTAATGGATTATTATCGGTTTTCTATGATTTTATGTAATCGAATGATTACAAATGTATTTTTAACTTTAGACCACAAGTAATAATTGCCGGCACTTAGAGAGAGATAATAAAAGAGGGAAAAAGTAAGATAAAACGAGTAAAAGCAATTTGGTCGACACATTTCAGAGCTATCAAAGGCTCAAAAAATATTCTTTAATAGCTGTCCAATAATATATAATCTGTTGTTAAAAACTGTAATTTTTGTGCTGATAGTAATAAGAATTAGTATTTTCTGTAAAAGATTAATCGATTTTCATTTATTATATTATCTTAAATATGTTAATTTTTCTGCTTGAAAACTTCCTTTTTATTCGCGATAAATTTTGCAATTTCGAGATTAAAAAGATATTTATTCTCGAATTCGTACATTTTATAAATATATATTTATGATTTACTTATAGAGTTCGATTTTGTTTTATTGAAGATTAATAAACAGAATGATGATCTTACCGTCTTCACGACTCTCGGCATCTTTCGCTTGTATCAAAACAGTTCTGGTGTAATTTAGCTTATCCAAAAGATTTGCCATAGTTGCTAATCTACTCCAAACGTCTCCAGGTGGTCTGTGAAGTAAAAAGATAATTACAATTAAAATCAGAGTTTTATCATTCTTAGGAGAAAAGGCAAAGACTTTGATAAAACGTGTACGAATAATGAAAAGTTGGAAGAATCTCCGAGATCGAGCAATCGACTTCCTCTTTTCTCGCTCCTACGAGGCCAATAAATATCCAGTGTGATTTAGTAAGCTGCCAAGTGGAATAGGCAATTTGCGTCTTTTCCGATGCGAAGGTAAATAAAGAAGCCGGATATATCTGAGAGGTGCATCCGCACAAACGCAAGTACAGCTAGTGGAGAGATCGTTTTCAATAAACCGCGAATGACCTCGCATTAGACTTTTATTTATCGATCCATTGGTCAGCGACATTTGTCTTTTCCTTATCATCCAGTCACGATTTCTCACAAATTAAATAAGAAAATCGAGTGCGAACGTAAAAGAAAGCAATAAATTGTTATTTTACGTGTGCTCATGAATTCATATATTTGAAAATTTTCAACAAGATATTTCCATATATAAGGAAGGAATAATACAATGTCGTTATATATTTTTCTAGAAAAAGATCATTTTCATTCTGCATATATATACTATATTTTATATATATGTACTTGATCTATAAGATATAATATAATAAAATAATAAATAAATTGATCTGAGAATATACAGATTACACTTAATATATGTAAATTATAGATAAAAATAATAAAATAGCCTAAATTGGGAAGAACATGAATAAATCGATCGACCTAATGTAAACGATTCTCTCTTCAATTAATCGATTGTCATCGTTAATGGACAGCCGTAAATTATGCAAAATAGCAGTCTCTGTAGTTTATTTCTTATTTCTCTCTCTTTTTTATCTTAAATATCGAGAAAGGTTTAATCGAGTAGCGTCCTTGTCAAGGAAACATGGCTGATTCATAAGTATGTAATTGTTAATCGTTAGCAAACAACAATAATTAACTTATTCAGTCGGATAGAATCACCGACAACACAGTGTTGTTGCGTCGATGCAGGAACCTTGAGAAACTTTTAATACTGAATAGATTTTTATCTTCCACTGTATTCTCGCATGATAGACGAATTTATTACGTAATAAGTTTTCTGTTCTTCGACTTCTCCACAATGAGCTAATTTTATCTGTTCGTAGTATCTGTTTTTTTTTTTCTTTTTATTTTTACATTACAATGTGAATATAAGTAAAAGTAAAAAATCTATATAAAAAAGTGATTAAAATATTGGTTTTAGTCCTAGTAATATTTGAATAGTGATATAGAACTGACGTTAATAATGTGAATAAATATTGAAAACAAAACATTTTAGTATCTAAGATATTAGCGGTTGATTTAAATGAAAAGAAGCGAAAAGAGAATTGCAGAATGATAAAACGCAAATTTGTCGGCTAAAAATGTAATCGATGGTTACATGCAACATTGAGGTAAAGTACGCAGATAAAATGATACGATTTTTATTTTACGTGTGAAGTTAAAGCCAATTGACAACGCGAACTCGTTTAAATATTTCTCAATCCAAACTTCAATAGGAAGAAGAGCGTGATCGATGGCTCGGAAATGATACATACTTTTAATGCATTTACATCCATAATAAATTAAAAAAAATATATTTCGGAGTATGGTTGACCGCAAATGCTTGCAAAAGAAGCGGTTCTCGGGTTCGAGAGCCGAAGGAATATAAAAAGAGCATACATTTCTGATGACTCTCTTGTTCTTGTTTTGACGAGTCGAATGCGGGGCTCATCGTGTTTCAAAAACTAAACAGGTTGGAGAGAAGTATCACGATATCTCAGAAAGAAAAAGAGAAAAAGAAAGAGAAAAAAAGAGAGAGATTTTCTGTCTTTTTCATACGAGATCATCTTGACCTCAAATGACAAATAAGAGAATGATTGTTAAGAAAATAAATCATACCGATCATATTCTGGTATTTTTTAATTAAGAAAAAGTAACACGTACACGAAGAAACACGTATCAAAAATTGATGAGAAATAAGTTAAAAAATACTGAGAAAAATTTTGCTTTTGTGCTCGCTCTCTCTCTCTCTCTCTCTCTCTCTCTCTCTCTCATCTGTTGGTTTTTCGTAAAAATGGTCCAGCAAAATCGTCTCAATGTTGCTTTGATATCTTTACCAGCAAAACCATTTCAAGTACCGCTACTCCAGAAAGAAATTAATGTTCTCAGAGAAAATTAATAGTTCAACATGTGAGCCATAATTCAAAACACCCGAAATGTCAACCTAAATTAATAGTTCAAATACAGCTGCAGATCGGCAGAACGTAACATGACAACTTGCTCGATGCGTCATACGAGCTTGCAAGGCGTGATGATAGTCAGGTTACAAATCTTTTCCTCCTTTTCTTTCTATTTTTCTTGGTCATAATTAATTAATTTTTGTTTGACAAAGGAAAGACCATGTGGAAAATCGAACATTTAAATTAAAAGACGCTCGTTGTGACATTAACAAAAGAAGCAAATGTCGTGAAAGCGGAAAGAATTTCTAAGAACGAACGAAACTCAGATCGAGTACATACAGTGGTTGACCGTGACCTACGCCATACAAACGAACGTACATAGACATACACAAATGCTCATGTCTCCTGTTCTTTAGACATTTTCTCATAGATATTAGTTCACGAAAAATTGAAAAAACCGTGCGACAATTATTTTTATCTGACCAAAGTTAAATTCATTAAATATTGTATCTTATATATTATTATATATTCTAAATACTGCTGATTTAAAATTACGAAGAACGTGATAAAATAACGTTAAATAGTGAGAAATAATTGTACCGTTTACTCCATTTCCATATTTTTAATGAGAACGGACTGAAACGAAAAAATTCGCTAGATTCCCGAGGTGTACCATTAATTGCGATAAAGTAGCAATAATTTCTTCCTGCGAGCACAAAAATCTCTCTCCTGGGAGACGTAAAGGTTACGACCCCGTTGCCGAGCGCGGCTAACACGCATCGACGATAATCTTTCGCTCTTTCCTCTCTCGGGAGCGTTTCCCAAGGTCGGACGAGTGTAAATGCCGATCGGTCTAAGTGCTAAGTGCGTCGGCTTCGAGCGAACAGGCCCGAGGCTACGAGAAGATCGAATAGCTATTACCTTCTTATATTTTTTCGTTCCGTTCGTCTTCTATGAATCTTTCGATGTTCGCGAGAAAAGATTTTTAAATCGTCGTTTCTAATTTGTGTCAAGGATTTTCGATTAATCTTTTTTTTTTTTTTTTTTTTTTTTTATGAACATGACTCGTTCAAAAAAAGATCTTGACTCTTTCTATACTCTTTGATTTTTTCAAGATCAATTTTATCACAGATTTTAGGAAACTCCGTGATTTTACCGTAAAGATTCGAGATTTAGCATTGTAGCGCAATCTGCTGGCGAAACTAAACATTACGACGGTTACCGACCGAGCTTGGCATGGTCAGAGGCAGACTATTGTAGACCGCAAACCGCAGACCGCAGGATAGGCTAGTTCGAAGTATCGAACATTCTTCCCTACCTTCGCGAATCGTGCCTCTGAATTTTTAATATACGTGACCATTTCGCCAACAAAAATTTTCAGGAAAAGCATGAAATTATAATATGTTAATACATCCGGATGTCTAACTTTATTTCCTGGTTATTAAAATTCGACGCTTCATATCTTATGTATGTATTTATGTTGAATAAACTAATGAAACTTGACGACGAAACGTTGGAACTATTTAACGATGAAGCAAAAACCTTTAATTGTTTTAATTTTCAGGTAAAAGAAGTACTTACCCGACTCTATAATCTGTGCAAGAAGGTGGCGGATTCCAAACGGTACTGTGGCACAGCATCCAATCGCACCAAATCTATAAAGAAAGAAGAAATGCATGAGATACATTTCTACAGATGAGCGAATAATGCTGTTGCATATAAGTTATTTATAGAGATCAACTCGACTTTTTTTCTCCTCAACGGCATTCATCAATCTTTTGGAAAATGAAACGTATTCCAACGCTCTTGTATCGCGTCCGCATTATCGCCAATATTAATGGTCTCAACGCAGAAATGTTACACCTCCTCGAGAGATCATCCCTGAGAGATCAACAGGCTGTTAACGAGGCAATCAACGATCATAAGGAATTCGTTTGGTCAAGAATATCTCTTGAATTTTATAAAATAAGAGAAATTGAAGTAATAATGAATTTTTTAACTGCAAATTAAGGCTGTACTGTAATTTTACTGTCACTAAAATCATAATAATTATGGAGTTGTATGTATTTTAATATTACTCCAAAGCAAAAAAAAAAGGATGATCAAACAATTATTTAACTCAGTTTTTTACGAATCAAAAGAGCTAATAAAATAAAAATATGCAATATATTCTTACGGTTTAAAAAAAAATTCTTTTGCTACCAATTTTTTTGAAATTTCAAATGCAATGTGAAAATTCGATTTATCACATCAAAGTATGATCTGATCGAATGAAAGAAGAGAAAAGAAGAATACCAATACGATCGCAATCTCGTCACTGACCGAGCTTTATCGATGTAACTTTGTGAGCGAGTGGGTATAGATTACATGCGATTGGTGTATTAATCATGGTTGCATAATATGCCGAGACACGAACGAATCAGGTCCAGATCCTGACACCAGCCACAGGCGAAAAATCTTGCGTGGGCTCGAGCCTTACATCGTTTCATAAATCCTCGACCGCTTGAGCTCGTTCGCATGCAACTAAGACCGAATCCGAACGTGAGTTACCCTCGAGGCAGATATCCCTCTTCATTTATACGTTCCTCTCGAATTCACACCAGGATTTAACCTTTGCTTATCTATGAAACTCCGATATTTATCGAACTTGTCGTATATTAATAGAAGTGACCGAAATAACGAATATCCAAATTTTATTGATTTAAGAATAATAATTTAATATGTGAACACTAGAAGTTTATTTTACCAATAGTAAGAATAATTTTATTGCGAACAATTTAGAAATTATACATTCAAACAAAAAGTCATGTCACAATTTTAAGAACTGTCTTCACTATAAAAAAAACCGAATTATCAGTCTAACAAAAACAAAAATATCTATTTCTTAACTTTAACGATTTTTTTAATATACAACGTTTCATAAAAATCGGAAGAATTACACGTATATCTCATGTAAAATTACTTTCTCTAAAACAGAAAGACGAATACAAAAAGTTTATAAAAGATATACCTTAATAGCAGGTAAAAGGACCTGCATATCTTCTCCAACGACCAATCGAGGTTCTTCTCCACTATCCAATTGTGTTTTCAACAGAGATACACCACGTTCCAAAATCAAACTAAACATCTGCAAAGATACGATAAGAGCACGTTCCTGGACCTCCGATCGGTATCCCTGTTCCATTTGTGTATCTGAAACAAAATTCAAGAACGCTACTATGTATATCTTCCGAGTTCGTTAAAAGGGTAATCAAAATCTGATTCAGGTAAGACCACCCTGTTCGTAATTATAAAGGGAATCGACTCCGCCGTATAGAACTCATTCGTTATTCAAATTCGAGTCAGTAAGCAGTCATGTGTGAAGAGGTAAAAGTAACAGACAAAACAGGACGTTGATATCCGGAAGGTAATTCTGTGATGATGATCGTCCTTCTTTCGAAGGAATACGAAGAGAAGAAAGCGAATGCCGGTAGCAGTCACGTTTCGGTGATCCTTTTCTACGAAGTTCGCAATCTATTCGCTCTTTCTCGTAGAGAAAGAGAAACAGAAAATGCTTTCTCTCTTCTTCCTCCCTCTCTCCCTCTATCCCTCTCTCTCTCTCTCACTACTTCTTTCAAAGAACTGTCATTACATGTTGTATGGAAGCTCTGTGCAAGGAGATGAGATTACATTGCCGTGGGTTCAGGAGGAAAAGTTACGTCACGACCTTTGACAGTCAGCTCTGTTGAGCGAGTCAAAAAGAAGGAGCTATTTCCGAATCCGTGTTTCCGTGAAATTCGATGGAACAAAGCGTAGATGTATGATATTAGTGGTGGATTTTACCCTTACATTACGAGACCTTTGCATCACCCTAGTAAATATGTATCCTAAGTTATTTATTATCTTCTGTTCACCGCTCGCATTTCGAGATAAGAGAAGGGTAGCGAAAGGGCGTTGTGAAGAACCTTCAGCCTAAGATCGCCCGCCCTAAAATACTTTAACCATTTGCCTTCGAAATCGAATGTTACTTAATAAGGCTATCCGTTATTGCAACTTAATGTTGAATATTTTTTCTTGTTTAAATAAATGTATATATTCGTTAATAATAAATAATTAAATATTAAACTCATTTTATCGAGATAGGACGAAGTGGGAAAGTTGTATGACTAATATCAGCATCAGGCATTCCAAATAAATCGTAAACATTAGATAAGTGACAAACGATTCTATCTTGAAATCTACCAAGTCGTTCATAAAAGTCGTTTCTCTTATAAGTTCAAACGTATTTAAATTTAATTTAATAAATAAAATTTGTCATTTAACGGATCGTAAAAACTATCATCAAATTTACTTAAAGATCTACTAAAAGATCTGATTTACCTAAAGAGCTACTTAAAGATCTGATTCTCTTTATCCGTATTTATTTGCGAGCGGATAATATTCACTTTCTATGAAAAAAATTAATATTTAACATTCATAAAGGAAACGAGAGTGCTTTGATCGTCTTACTACGCGCAATTGGTTTGTTCATGTTCGTGTCTTAGAAGAAAGAAAAAAAAAAAGAAAAAGACAAGAAAGAGTGGAGAGGTTGAGGAAAAAACGAATAGAAGGAGAGAGTTAAGAGAAGAAGGAAGACGCTGTGGCTAAGAAAGAGTAAGTAATGTTTTATCGTATCGGCAAGCAGATTGATTCCACTGCGAAGATGAAGAGAAGGCGTTCTAAGAAGTCAGTCATTGAACCGCCAGCAGGTTGAATACCGAATCCCAACGACCGTAGGCACGGTGAAAATCTCCGGTTTCCCTTCTTCGAGATCTCGAGATACACGAAGAAGGATGTGGAGGCGCGCAACGTCGCTGATACTCTAGCGAAACGAAGAAAGAAAGAGAAAGAAAGAGAGGGATGGACGCGGAAGTGGAGGTAACAGAAGAGACGAGGCTTTTCATTATCTCGTATATCCATCGCTAGTAATCGGTGTAGCCAACATTTCAGCGTCGTTTCCACCGTACGTTGAGCCACTTGAACGAGAACGGGGGGAGGTAGTCTTATATTTTGCTTTTACAAGAAAAAGATAGAGATAGAGAATAGACTTGCTTTACAAGGACGACATACACCGATTCCTTTTATCGTAGACTCTCTCTCTTTCTCTCTCTCTCTCTCTCTCTCTCTCACTCACTCACTCTCTCTTTCTCTTTCTCACTCTTCTCCCCTATTCTACAGAGTCGATGTATTAAATGAAGATAGAGTTGCTTTATTATTTTATGGCTCTGAGGAATCTTCAGAAAGTATCGATTAAATTCAAAATTAGAAAGTAACTTAAAATTAAATTATTTTATTATTGATTATTGTGTTTGATTCATAATGTCAGTATGATATTATTATTGTAAGTAACACGCTAAATTTAAATGCTTACAAATTAACTATTTTTTACAGTCCATTTAATTAAAACATGTATGACTTAATTCACAGAAAAACTGATATAACTTTATCGGAAAAAGAAATTATCCATCATACCGAAAAAGAAAGATAAAAATGACAACTCTGCGAGTGGCGTACTGATTGTGTATATTGTTAGACGTGAAACAATACAGAATTTACAATTTTAGAACATTATGATATCATAAATCAATTCTTCCTTTTTCCATTATTCTTATATAATCAAATTGTAAGGAACTTTCTAGCATTTTCTCGCAAGTAAGAATGCAAAAAATATAATTGTGAATGCGAATATTGTAAAACCTATCAAAAATTATCGATCTTAGATTGTATGGTTAAGAATAGCATTAAAACAATCTATAAAACTCTTAGCTCTCAATCAATGGTGATAAATTAGTCTGTATCGATCAGTCTGTTTGTCTGCTGATAATTGTGAGTGTTATTAAGAAGTTAATAATCAAATTTAGTTAGTAGTTATTAGTTAAGAATTAAATATTGCAACATTCAAGTGTATATGCTTGCCTATCTTTACTTTGTCGCGTCTCTCTTTTATTCTCTACAAAATTTTAAAATATATTTTTGTACTTAGAACTAAAACGCAATTACATCAATAGTAAGTTCACTCATCAGCGATGTCGATAATAGACTGGTATCTCCGAGTCATATTTTGTAACAGATTGACTCCAGTTTCGTATCATATTTCAATATGTATCATACCTCAGTACTCGTGTGGTAAGGCCGTCCAAATCTGACGGATCTGTCGCATAGTTAGTTTTACGGTAAATAATCTTTTCCGGCAAAGTCTACTTTATAAACGCTCTGACATTTTCGATAGGATTATTATAGGACAAATACTTATTATTGATTGATACCAGATTTACCTTTTTACTCAATCCAGAAACCGATGTTTCAGGTCATTGTCCTCCTGTAGGATTTAATCTTCAGCTTTATCAATAAACCAATGTTTAGCAGACAATAATAAAGCTTTTTTTGTATACATTTCTATCATTTTATGAGCATTCAAAGTATGTATAAACAAATATAAGTTTTTATAAATTTTCGCTTCATGCCACGATCCAAAATTTTTTTACGATCTTTGAATGTAACTCAAACCATATCAGCATTTCAGCAAAAATTGAAACTTTCTTGGATATATAATATATTAAGGGGAAAGATACTCTAAAAAACTAGTATTAAAATAAAACAAAATACAATAGTAATAATAATAAAAGCAATAGTAAAAATAAATAAAAACAATATCCTAGTAATACTTAGTCGCATAAGAATAAATAATATACCTGTTATCAATTGTGAGTTAAATTGGACATACTGTTATTGAACAAATTTCGTTACTGATGAATGGACGACATAAATGAAAAATTGCCTACATTGAAATTCGTGGGAAAAAAAATGCACGAAGTTGTAAAAAAAAGTATTGAGAGTAATTTGCTACGGTTGGAATAAGTAAGGTTCGTAAATTTCGTGAACTTTACGGAATTATTATACTATCTATAAACTAACGGAAAGATTTGAAACACGAAACTAAGATTTCTTAAAGCCCGCAAATTGCCGCATATGTATTTGTCTTCGTTTTATATTCGTTTACTTGTTTGCACGTCCTTAAGACGTCGGCAATACCTGAAAAGTGTCATTGATATATCCTTTCACATGGTCACTTCTTAAAGATTTAAGGAATAAAATTGGTTAATATTCATTCTGATCCATTTTTTATGGACATTCAAATAAAAATGTAAATATGAATCCATAAGTTTCGCTCTAAATCTATTCTTATTTATTTCTCGATAATGAAGAAATCAACGAGTTCGAACGCTTCGACGAATCATCTTCGGACAGATCCGAGGAGGAATCAAGCTTTCGACAATACCATACCTCCGTCAGTTTAATTTATCGTGGACAAGGATAATAATTAGCGTTTAACCGCGAGGTTAAGAAGAGGAAGAGAAAGAAAGAGAAGACCTGTGTGGTCTTCTTCGTCGAAGAGTTTGGTGTAGGAAAGGGGCAATTAGTTATGGGAAATTTATTGCAAGTTCTCAGCTAATTGCCAACGCGGTCATTAGCGAGAATTTCGCGCACCGCCCGGCCACTTCCTTCTCTCCCATCCACCTTACTTCTCTCTCTTTCTTCCTTTCTCTGTTATTCACTCCGATCTTCATAACCGATGTCGTCATAAACACTGATCGATTATACCCCCTGCAGAATTATTCTTTGAAAATAACTTTGCTTTGAATATCCATTATCATTAATGTTCTTGTATTATAGAAACATCAAAAAAAAAAGAACCGAGAAGTTCAATGTAAAACACTTTTACAAATATCTCGACTAACGAAGCTTAAAGGAGACTCGGGTTATTGAACAGCAACGGAGCGTTATACATATGTCGTATAATGATGATGAAGAAAGAAAAGAAAGGATTGATGAAGGATGAGGTCAATGTTCGTCCTGTTCTCAGAACGAATATTAACGCGATTACATCATGAAAACGAACGAAAATTGAGTTAGTCACTATGCTCGAATGATTAGATTATAATTAATTTTAGCTGGATCCATCTCGTGCTGGCTCACTTTAAAAAAAAAATCAGTGACTAAATTGGTATAGGAAAAAAATAAAACGAACATTCTATTAATATTGAAAGATTTGACATTTCATGTCAACATCGTGGTAAAGACGAAGCACTCGTTAATAACAATTGTTCGTCTGGCAACGACATGGATCATTATGGTATCACAGCTTTGGATTGGGAAAGTAAAAATAATAACTC